TTTAACTTTCGATTTGTATCAATGGCCTTAAAGAGCGGGGAATATCATAATATTTGATTAATTTTAATTTGTTATGAAGTAATTCCAAGTCGGCTACAGATAATATATCGACATGAGATGTTATACTTTTCACACTATTATAGCCCATATTAAAATAAGTATCAATAATTTTAGCTAACTTTGGATCGTTACTCTTATCGACGAATTTCAAAGCATGATGGACCATAATAGCCAAAGTTTTATCATTGTAATCTGATTCTGGGAAGTGGACTTCAAAATCTTTAGTTAATTTCCTACCTAATTCGTTGACAGAATTACAAGATTCTGAAAATTTTCTTAAATACAAATTATAATCATCAATAAAATATGGTCTATGACTTTTAACCATATATAACGATTTCAATATAGAAAAGGCACGGTCCATATAATTTGAAAATAGACATGCCTCTAACAATGACCAAAGTTGCATGACATCTCTAGATTGATTAGCACCGTTGGATGATAAGACTGATGTTCTATCAAATGGAGAAAAACCTGGAGACATACTTATCTTTGACGATTTCATAAAACCCAAATCATTCATCAGCAAAGAATCAGGGTTCTTCAGAATAGATAGTTCAGAGCTAGTCTGATTCAATTTTGAATTATTCGAAGATATTTGTCTTATAATTATTTTCTTGAAATTTTGTTGTAACCTTGCACCAGGCAAACCCATCCGTTTCGCCAACATCATCGACATATTGCACACCGTTATGGACCCCACAAATAGTACAATCTTGACGGCTAAATTCCAGCTCTGTACAGCTTCTTATACTCCAGAAATCAACTCTTTTATTAACAAATCTCTATTACAGTTACTTATTAAACTAGTAACTTATTAATAAAATTTATAGTGGGTGAAATTTTCACCGATGAGTTTTATTTCATGTTTGGTAGCGCCAGGTATTTCTTATTTTATATTGACGTAACAGATGATGTCAGTAATAGCATATGAATTAACTCAACAAGATGTTGATCTGTTAACCGACAAGACATCCAACCAGTACCCTACACTAGCTTAACCTAGTCTTAGTAACGAAATACTTTTCTCATTGTCCCCTGTTTTGCTCATTAATCAAGAATTCTTTAATAGATTATTAATTATAATTCAAATTATATCATACATACATATATATATATCTAGACATGTATGTGCTCTTTTATATATATTTTTAACACAATTGGTATTGATATATCTATATGGAAAATAGCCAAAATAAAATACGTAACGTACTAAAACGAGACTTCTCACTTGTTATAATATTTAGTGTTTGGTCCAGGAAACAAAGGTAAAAGATGTGAACTCCGATGAACAAGAAGGTCACATAAAGTAATAACAGTAAAAAAAATTAGATGTAAAGTAGCAGAAGGTTGAAATATCTTTGAGTAAATAATTTCACATAACTGCATTTAACAAAAAGAGGAGAGGGGTTGTAGGAATAATGAATGGTAAATGAATGTTTGTGCATATTTTTAATTATGTTGAGATGAAATGGAAAAAATAATAATGGTTTTAAAATGAACAAGGTTTGCAGAAGTAAATGGGTAATTTAAAAAAAAAACATCGAAGGACTCCTTTTCTTTATTCTTTTTGTTCGTTCTTTTTGAATCCATTTATTTTTTTTGAAATCGGTAGGGGACCCGTCCTATCTATTCGAAATTTTCAACCATTGGTTGGTTCTCATTACCATAATCTATATCTTCTTCGTCATCTTCTACAGTAGCTTCTTGGTATTGTTGATATTCACTTACTAGATCGTTCATATTTGATTCTGCTTCAGAAAATTCCATTTCGTCCATACCTTCACTAGTATACCAATGTAAGAACGCTTTTCTCTTGAACATAGCACTGAATTGATCACCTACTCTCTTGAATAATTCTTGAATGGAAGTGGAGTTACCAATAAAGGTGGCAGCCATGTCTAGACCCTTTGGAGCTACAGAACAAACGGCGGTTTGCACATTGTTTGGAATCCATTCTACGAAATAAGAAGAGTTTCTAGTTTGGATCTTCAACATTTCATCTTCAACTTCCTTGACGGATACTTTACCTCTGAAGAAAGCGGCGACAGTCAAGTACCTACCGTTTCTAGGGTCTGAGGCGGCCATCATATTTTTAGAGTCGAACATTTGCTGAGTCAATTCTGGTACGGTTAATGATCTGAAAGATTGAGCGCCTAAAGCGGTTAGAGGGGCGTAACCGACCATGAAGAAATGCAATCTTGGGAAAGGAACTAAATTTACAGCCAATTTTCTCAAATCTGAGTTCAATTGACCTGGGAAACGTAAAGACGTTGTTACACCTGACATAACACTTGATACTAAATTGTTCAAGTCTCCATATGAAGGTTGAGTTAGTTTCAAAGTTCTTTGACAGATATCGTAAAGAGCTTCGTTATCTATACAGAAAGTTTCGTCGGAGTGTTCTACCAATTGATGAACAGAAAGAGTGGCGTTATATGGTTCCACGACAGTGTCTGAAGTCTTTGGTGAAGGTACCACTGAGAAAGTGGCCATCATTCTATCAGGGAATTCTTCTCTAATTTTTGAAATCAACAAAGTACCCATACCTGAACCGGTACCACCCCCTAAGGAGTGGGTGATTTGGAAACCTTGTAAAGAGTCACAACCTTCAGCTTCTCTTCTGATGACATCCAAGACTGAATCTACCAATTCAGCACCTTCAGTGTAATGACCTTTTGCCCAAACGTTACCAGCTGAGGATTGGCCAAAGATGTAGTTGTCTGGTCTGAACAAGTTTCCCATTGACGAGTTTCTTACGGCGTCGATGGTACCTGGTTCCAGGTCTACGTTGACGGATCTTGGGACCCATTTTCCGGAGGATGCTTCATTGAAGTAGACACCTAGTCTAGCTTTTTGTAGATCTGAGGTTCCATGGTAGTTCCCGTCGAAGTCCAAACCGTGTTCGCCACAGATAGTTTCCCAGAAGGCAGCACCGATTTGGTTACCACATTGACCAGTTGATATATGAATAATTTCTCTCATGGTTGATATGAGTATTTGAATTTAGATTTCTAAAATATGGATGGAATAGATGAAAGTAACAAAAGGGCTTTGTTATTTAATATAGTTGTCACGGATGGAGTGAGAGGCAGTATTTGTAAAAGCTATTACAAAAGTGTGGGGGGGAGAGAGTAGCAGAATAGTTGTTAAACCAGTGATTAGTGCAACTCAGTTGAAGGGAAAAGCCGAGTAGATCTAGTGTAATTCGTTACAGAGTGGAAATGTAGCGAGACAGAGAGAGTGTGTATAAGTTCTGTCTATAACCCAGTGATCCTCTTGAACTACTCCAAATATCAATATCAAAGATCAAAATCAAAGAGTTAAATCAAATCAAAATCAAATCTAACCTCTGACTTTCATAATCTAGGATTGTTTCGTGTTTGTTTTGGTTTGTTTTCTTTATTTTCTTTGTTTCCTTTTGTTGTGTGTGTGATCAAAAATTTGGATTTGGGAAAGAAAAGAAAAGAAAAGAAAAAGTGCCCAAAAAGAAAGGTAGGAACGGTGCACGTGATGTGACGTGTATAGTGATGTGTAGTTTGGTCATGTGATGCTGTTGTCACGTGTGTTCCGTCTGCAATGACCATGTGCTGTGTTTTTGGCACTTTTTTGGTGGCTCGTTATTGTTTATTGTTTATTCCTAACTGTTTATTGTTTGTTTATTGTTCTGTTATTATAGCTCTTGTTTTGATCTTTTGGCATTCGTTTGATATCTCTTGTTTCAAACCAACTATTAAACACCAAAACAGTACCCAGACTTAGACCCACTTTGCTCTGATCAATCTACATCTATATTTAAGTTTACATTTATATTTATAAGTATGTATATATATACTCGAATAGACATCTTCTCGTTTTCGTGCTTTTCTACACATTGCCCAAACGCTAACTGTTCTGTTGCATAATTACACAAGATCCTACATTTACAAGGTCCTACATTTACAAAAACATATACACTCCCACAACTCACAACTCATAATCATGTCAGGAAAAGTTCACGGTGGTAAAGGGAAGTCAGGTGCTAAAGACGGTGGCTCTATCCAAGCCCATTCCTCTTCTGCAAGAGCTGGTTTGCAATTCCCTGTAGGAAGAATTAAACGTTATTTGAAAAAACATGCCTCTGGTAAAATCAGAGTAGGTTCAAAATCAGCTATCTATTTAACTGCTGTTTTGGAATATCTAACTGCAGAAGTCCTGGAACTGTCAGGTAACGCTGCAAAAGATCTAAAGGTTAAAAGAATCACTCCAAGACACTTACAACTAGCCATTAGAGGTGACGACGAACTGGATAGCTTGATTAAAGCTACCATCGCCTCCGGTGGTGTATTGCCTCATATTAATAAAGCTCTATTGCTAAAAGTAGAGAAAAAGGGTCACAAAAAATAATAATAATAATAATAATATTTTCCTCATACTATATCTACATTTTTACTATCCTATCCTATCCTATTTTATTATATTATATTATATTTGTTTTAGTATTGGAAATATCCTTTCCAATCTCTTCATTTCATACCATAGCTTATACCCTCCTCCCGTCCCTCTCCTGTCCCAACACCCCCCACCCTTTCTATACTCATTATTTAGGTTTGTATCTCTCCCATAATTTGAAATTGTACTATATATCACTACATATACAATCGTCATCACTTTTATTCATTCAATTGAACACTTGGCTCTCTCTCTTGTCTATAAGCTAGATATATCCATTACTGCCCAAATAAGCCTTTCTAACTCAACGATTTTGAATTTTGAAAAATTAAGCGACTGCCACTACAAACTACAAAAGAATCAATCATAGATACATATTTCAATGAGAAGTTGGTATTAAAGGGGGACCAAAAGCATACCATCTAGCATCTTCGACCAGTGTATATACTTACTGATCGAAACGAGTTCAATAATCATTCATTCAATGTTACAACGTTTGAATATCCCAAGAAGCTACCAACTTTTGCTTCTCTCGCTGGTAGTCTATTCAGCTACTTTCCTATCGATATATTTTGCAGTTCTATCATCAACTTCATATCTTCAGGTAACGATAAAACTGTCTCAAGGGTTCAATGCTATTGTCCTGGTTCTATTTGCTATCCTCAACGGAACCTACGTTTGGAGATTCTTTATATGGCTAGCCTTTGGTAATTTAAGATTAATCGAATACGAACATGTAATGGAAAGATTGCCGTTCACTATTCTGAATATGGTAATCACTTATTCCATGTTTAATGATAAATCTATTGCGTTTACAGGTTCTATATTTGGGTTTTTTCTGATTTTTATGAAAGTTTTGCATTGGATTTTAAGGGACAGACTAGATGCTATCGTACAATCCTTTAACGATTCTTCAACTTTAACTTCAATTATTCTATCGAATAATTTCTTTCTAAATTTAATAATCTTTACCATTGTGGATTATAAAATGGTATCTTATTGTGTTTCAAATTCACTATCAAATTCAATGGGTGCCTCCACAACTGTTCACTTATTATTAGGTATGGAATTCACCATGTTACTAATAGATTTGTTGAATCTATTCTTGCATACATGTTTGAATTTATACGAGTTCCATCTAACTACTCTAGAAAGAAGCTCCAACATCATCCAAGAGGATGGCGAAGATGATGAAGAGGATGATGAATTACAATTTAACTCTTTGGAAGGTAAATTCATGTACGAAAAGACAATAGATGTCTTTACAAGATTTTTGAAAACTTTTATCCATATTCTGATGTTGATTCCGTTGAGAATGAAATTCTTCTTACTGTTGAAAGACGTTATATGGAATGTAATTTCCCTTTATAAGCATACAGGAAGTCTGTGGAAAACTTGGAAAAATAATAAACAGTTGGATGACAAATTACCAACAGCATCTATTGAAGAATTGAAAAATACTGATAATAATATTTGTATTGTCTGTATGGATGATTTGTTACCAAGAATAAACTCAGAAAAATATGATTCTCAAAGAGAAAAGGAACTTTATGATCACATTATGAAATCAAAACAAAAACCGAAGAAATTGCCTTGTGGGCATATATTACATTTGAACTGTTTGAAAAACTGGATGGAAAGATCTCAGACCTGTCCTATTTGTAGATTGCCAGTTTTCGATGATAAAGGTAATGTGATGCCTTCAACCCATTCACAAAATCAAACAGAAACTCAACAGCAACAACCACAGACACAAACGCAATCGACTACAGAATTACAACCCCAAACCGAGGTCCAACCTGATTTGAACCAACGACAAGAAACTAATATACAGCATAACGTCCAAAATGTTATAGAGACTCCTGGTAGAGATTCTGCTCAAGATGCCTCAAGAGGAGGAACAGGTTCTAACTCTGATCATAATTTAACGAATACACAAGTATCTAGTGAGGGTAGTAGTAATGAACAGCAAGGAAATGTAACTAATAGTATACTAAATACCTCATCCTGGTATTCTTTCCCAATAAAAACATCAAGTGATAGTTCTATAACATTTGACATTTCTGATGCCCATGATCCTGCTAAAGTATATCCAGCAAAATTATCTGTTGAAGAAAAAGTTTCTAGTAGAACCTTAAATTCAGATGGTGGCATGTTGCAAGTTGTTATCAAAGATAAGGACATAAAAACTGTAACTGATTCCAAGACAATTGATCTCTTGAAGAAAAGGATCACTGAATTAGAAGAAAAGGTAGATTCTTTAGCAGCTAATGTCCAAAATGTTGAATGAAAGTAAAGATTTTTTAATGTTTAACTTGCATATATATTTCCTATACCGAATGGTTATGTTAAATACATGTATAAATTATGTTGTAAGTCATAGATATATTATTTTATAAATTTTATTTTTATGCTTTGTTTTACAAATCCATATTTGGTTTTTTGTATACATCTTGAAAATTGTTTATCAGATAAGAAAACACCAAATGAAATAAATATTAAAATCCTATGATTAATTTAATCATTCATAATCTATGAATAACCAATGTCACTGTTTCAAAGAAATTATTTGATATATTTAAGGCTCTATTTACCAAGAAACCAAAATTTATTAATTTATTTATTGGTGTGACGTGCTATACAAACTATATACTACACTCTTGAAAAGCTTGTGCTTTACTACAATTTTTCTTGGAGTAGAAATAATTCATACCTCCAACGAAAGAGGCATATGACGAAATTACCACTGAAGCCAATATTGAAGCTTTAAAGTCCTTTTTAATATTATTCTTTTCATAATATCCTCATAGTAAAAATATATTCTTAATACTTCTTTTACTTTGTATATAAGCAAGATGCAAAAAAATTTAGACCTTGATACTTAGGAAGAATAAGTGGAATACCAATTTATCAAGGAATAGATTAAATAAATTTATGAGATAGTGTATTTTTTTTGATCATTCCATCAAGACAAGGTTTTGCCCATACTGTCATTTCGAAAGTAATGTTATTAATAATATTAAAATAAATAAATAAATGACACATGGGATCACTATTGATCAGGGAGAGAAGACGAGAATAATTATAGATAATGATCATAAAACATTGAATGACATCTTACCATAGAGATAAATGGGCTGACATTTTATAACGTAAATTCATAACCTTGTGTAGTTTTTCACCCAGAATTGAAGATATAAGGTTACGGAATTCTTAAACAATTGGTGTGATAGCAAATATAGATCATTAATATAATAATATCTAAATTTTGCTATGTATCTAGACCCTTGGTATCAAACCAGAAGTAACAACACAGATTGTAGCAAAAAACATCGGATTGTTAATGTTTTAATTTATTGCATTTAATAAGAAACAGTGATAGAGACTACCAGAATAATGTTTCACGATAAGATTAGATTCTAACAGGAAATTATATTGTTTCTTGGATAGCAAACCCAACTTAACAGTGTGATTATGGAAAGAATTGAAATTAGTTATAAACTCATAAAAACAGAGACATATAAAAGGGGACAAGATTAAGAATATTCAATTAAGCAAGGATCACATCAGGGATTATATACTTGTTAACTATATAATATCTGGCAGTGTGACACTAGTGCACATTGATGTATAATAGATAGACAAAGAAAAAAATGAGAATTCAGATCACCTGCTCTTTGTTTCTATCTATATTAGCTATCGTAGTTGCTACACCCGATTTTATTCATATCGATGATAAAATGATCGTTATTCCTGACGGTATGATAATAACTCGTACAGTTAATGGTGTTAATTATACAAAAGAGGATGAACAATTTTATTGTTCTGATACAGACAGATTAACTGACATATACGTTGATTACTCCGTTCCAGTCGCTGCTTTTCATAGGACCAAAACGGAAGATAATTATGACTTGGTAGAGAGAGATTTCTTGGCGCTGGGCACTGCTGGCTTCTGTTAACTATACCAAAGAATTAGGAATGGAAGGGGATCAAATGCCCGGAATTTGGATTAATTTGGTAAAAAACAGTTCATACTGTTATGATGTAGCATTTTGATCAGACCACAGCTAAGGGTACAACATTGGTTTTCTTAGGGTTTAGTATTTTTGTTTTGGAAGACAGAATATATTTAGATTTAAGTTTAGATTTATATAGTTTTGGTTAGTTTAATTATTCACTTGCTTGCCAGATATCATTGTAACTAGAGCTTCTGCGATCAGATTAAAGTCACACGAATAGCATGTGACCTACATGGGTAGTTTTCTCAGAGTTTGCCTCCAAAAATAGCCTTCGGGCCGGGTGGGTTATTTCTCTCTCAGGGAATTTACTATGTGGGAATTTTGAAGAGCCTATCCCTCGCCATGCGTAATTCCAACTAGCAGCACCGTTACAACTAACGAATAAGAAAACATAATTGACATGAACCAAAAAAGGAGTACGTCAGTAGATATTAGAAGTGGTTGCAAAGTCATGAAACATAAAACGAACCATATTAGCAAATACTGAAAGTGGCTGCAAACTCATGAAAACAGAAACATATGAGAATGCTAACTAAGTTAAGGCTTAAATGTGGTAATATGTACTGGAATGTAGAGTTTAGATACATATATATATATATAAAGAGGTAAGCTTAAGTGTAGTCAATTAAGTAGGGGTCTCATCAGGATCTATATACTTATTAACTATATAACATCTGGTAGTGCAATCCTAGTGTGTATTGATATATAATACAAACTTAGACAACGAAAAAATGCTTGCTGCATATACCACTCTTTTCACTTTATCAATATTATTGTTTGGCCTGGCATCCTCGGAGTATCCGAGGTATGACAGGACACTACCTCACCTAGGTTCTTGGGTTTTCCAGATAGTAGGTAACAATAAGAGATGGATAGGAGAGTTAGAACTATGGGGAGCATTCTCTCTACAAGCCACTACTACAGCTATATCGGTATGGGACGTTTGCATAGACTGCAAACATGGGAATGCGAATGCCCCTGGCCCATGTAAAGATTCTATTATGGGACTGATTTACTCTTCACTCAGTACTTTTTTCAATCTAGGCTACCGTATTAAAGGTATCGACCACGGTCGGGTTTCAGTAGATGATACTGAGTTGATAGATATGGCAGGTAATATAGTCAAGAGATCACGTGATACCACCGTGAGCTCTTACGATATTCTTGTGAATGCTATACTAGCATTGACAGTGATTCTGGACTGGTACTACTTGATGTAGATACGGCAATCAGTAAAAGGGATGATTCATTGGAATACACCCAGGCATTTTTTCAAAATGGTACGTCTGGTGACACATATCACGTCAAGTGGCATTCACCGGGCGATAGGACTACTGGTATCCTCCAAATGGCTCATGTAACATTAACATCACAAAGCATGCCTGCCAATGGTACGATGGGCGTCAGTAAGAGACATGATGCGTATGTTAGTAATTCAGACCTGTGCGACTACTACCTAGTTGTAGAGTACTGCGTCAACGACAGCGGGTGGCACATCGACAACCCAGACGCTGAAATTGATAAGATTATAAGTGCCAATAGGGACTGGGAATGGCGCACGGACGACTTTAAGATGTACGTTGATAGGCGCGAAGACACAGACCACGATGACTGGCTTGCCTCCTTCTTTATGTATATAACACCTGGCTACAATACCATAAACATGGGACCACTGTGACACAGGTCATTGAGTCTATGGACGTTTGACTGTGGTAATTGTGAAATTTTTAAAAAAAAAGAAGAGAGAAGAAAGAAGCTAGGGAAAAGAGACAGCGACACAATATAAATTACGTGTCTCATTGTAATATAGATAAAGGGACAACTACCAGCACATTCTAGATCATCTCCAAAATATCTTATATTGTAGAGAATAAGAGGGTTGTTGGTTCTTTACAGAATCGTTCATAGTGTTAGATCTTTTAGTTATTTCCAAGGACATTCTTAATAAGTTGATATTGATCCGGTGTATTAAAGTATAAAATATACACATGGGAATATAGTACATATGATAAGTGTCAATTAAGATCTTACCAGACTTTATATACAATGTTTAGATATTATTGACACGTCAGAAGCAAATACTTTCGTATTATAAACATTTCTTTATCCCTTATTAACAATGATGTTTCATATAATTCTTCACCCTTATTAATATTGAATTAATGAGTATGACTTTACGTCATCTCATAATTTCTGACAACTTTCGTATTAGAAACATTTCTTTACCCTTTATTAATAATGATGTCATATAATTCTCCACCCTTATTAATATTGAAGGAATGAGTATGACTTCACGTCCTCTCATAATTCTGACACTTTTTAATAGCACGGAGAACGTATCTTATACTTCAGGAACTCCGTCCTTTTTATACGTCGTGTTTGCCATTGATTAACGTCATGGTAATATTCACATGCAGGGTAAATCCTTTTATCTTAGTATTGTCACTTTGTACTAACGAGAAATCAATATAACCCGGACTTGTCAGATTATCGCAATTACTCCCAATCTCCTTACCAAAAATTATAAGAAAAACACGCCATCTTAGTATAGTGGTTAGTACACATCGTTGTGGCCGATGAAACCCTGGTTCGATTCTAGGAGATGGCATTTCTTTTTATAGTATTTTTTAATATTTGTCACCAGCAGCAGCTGGAAGGTAATGCAGTAAATGACAATGAATTTAACTAGAACATTACGAACCCAATATATGTCATATTATTGAAAGTAAAGATATTCAATTTCAAATATTATTCAATTTCAAATATTATTCATTTTTAATTTGTTAAATCATATCGATTTCTATCTATTGTAGACTAATTAAAATTATATAGTAAAACAATGTACATAAATTATTTATACATTTATACTGGAAAGAGTATGCAGTTGGAAAAAAAGAAGCGACATTATAGTCATAATTGAACTATATTTTAAAAACTTCCGACTAATTAAATAAATGTGTGCCATATTTACAAGTTGTATTTTTATCTCCCTTTTTATTTCTTTTCAGTAGTCCATTAAAAAACTCCTAAGGCTTTGGAATTTTTAAACTTTTCGAGATCATACCACAACCATGTATAAAGAACACGAATACTATAGGATGGATTTCGAATACTAACCCTTCTCTGTAAATTCCAAATGGAATATTATCTAGAATCAATCCGTTCCTAACTAGATATGCCATCCCTATAACCAATAGCAAAGAAGTTGGCATTGGTAAACCTTCAAAGTATTTCGATTTACCAGTAACATCTTTTGGTAATTGAGCCACAGTGACATTAAATCTTGCCAATCTAGCTAGACCACACAATACAAAAAAGGATAAGATCAAAACATCTAAAGTAGTTTGGAAGCCAATAGCAAAAGCTACAGTAGCAGGGGCTACACCAAAAGAAACCAAATCAGCCAAAGAGTCCAATTCTTGACCCATTAGCGAAGATCTATTTCTCAATCTTGCAACTCTACCATCGAAAAAATCAAAACACATACCCAAAAATATAAAGAAATGTGCTCTTTGAACATAATGTGGTTTACCAGTTAAAGTGAATCTTAAACAACTTACAATTGAGTAAAAACCTGAGAAACCATTTAACATAGTAATATAATCTGCAAGATGCAAATTTCTAATCATACTAAAGTGATAAGCATCACTAGTAAACTTTTTAATGTCTGTTTCATTTGGTGGGTCCAATGGACTTGTATCCAAGGTAAAAATACTAGAGGCTCTTCTACTCAATGATCTTTCTTCTCTTGGGTAATCATCACTATTTTCATCCATTTCAGTATCTGAAATAGCTTGAGTATCAGCACCTTGGTCTGATTCTAAAAAAACGCTATCCTTTCTTCTACTCATTCTGTATGTATGGATCTATTCAACGTAAAAATATGGTTAAATTTTGCAATTAAACTCTTGTGTAAACAAATAAAATTAAAAAACCAAGTGTAATCACTCAAGCAAAATCAATTATTCGTTAATATTGTTATCTTAATATAATAGGCTCTTCTTCTTTTAATTCTTTTTTTTTATTACAGTAACACTCTGGCTTTCTCGAAATGTTTCAAGTATAGTATCACTATGATATCAAAAAAATAAGGAACCTAAATCTATTAACTAAATTTTTTTGGTTATTTCTGCTAATTGAACAGTCAGAAATGGAATATGTTTGCTATTTTATTAAATTATATTTAAACTACGGCAATTATCAATAAATCAACCTAAACAGAACGACTTATCCTCTATTACTAGCGTATTGTTACTGTTCTTATTTTTTTCTTCTAAATATTTAAGGAAAAAAAAAAAATTCTTAAAGAAGGAGAATTCAAAGCAGACTTAAACGGATTGTCTCTTATTTCTTATAACTAAACAATCAAAACAGAAACACAATAACAACTTATTGGAATACCAAGAATACAATCCAGTGTTCCTTTGCCCTCCTTATATACAAATACAACACAATGTCCTAAAACTATTTTAAGCTATCAAATTTTAAGATATCTCTCTAAATGGTTTATCTTTGTCAGAAATGTGAAAATTTAAAATAGTGCCGTAACAATTTTCTGCATTAAATAAAAACATCAAGAAGTCACGTGAACGGGTGCTTGTTCCTGTTATAGATTATATTATATTATACTCTATTCTATTCTATTCTATTACAGTTTGATAGATCCTCGAATTGTTGATGAAGATCCCTTAAGGAATGACTCAAGAGTTAGATGGATTGGAGGATTGATAAATAGTTTGTTTTGATAATAATATATGTTATATATTTATTTAAATACAGTTTAGTGTTAACATAGGAAATCCTTATAGGATAAAAAAAAAATTAATAAAACTTTGTAGTTGGATAAAAGTAAAGTAAAAGAATAATATTAATTAGAAAAGGAGAAACACATTTTTTTTTTATTTAAAAGAAATTTCAATTAGATGCATCATCATCTCATACAATCATAAATAAAGGAATATAGTTAAAGGGGTTGGGGGGTTGGGGGGGGTGTTAAAAAATTGTTTTAGTCATATCATTGCATTCGTTTCTACTTGGATAATCTTGACAAGACTTCAGCTTTTGCTGCACCTCCTAGACGTGCATCAAATTCATAACCTCTGCCTAACATACCACTTAACAAACTATGGTATGGTGGCTTACCTGGTCCGTCAGCTTCGATTGGGTTGTTCTTCAAGACTTCATTGAAGTAGTTGTTGTAGATATCACCGTCGAAGTAACCAATTGGTGCGTTTAACATACCATCTGGCAATTCAAAACTGTCTGTCAATGGGATACATTCCTTTCTAATTTCTGGCAAGATGGTCAATAGCTTGTCTTGAATCTTGGCAATTTGGTCAGAGTTAAATGTCTTGAATTGTTGGAATTCACCAGAAAACTTGTCAATAAAGTATAGAGAGAACAATTTGTACAAGCTCCATAAGACTTCTTTAGTAGCTTTGTCACTGACATATGAATCGGTTGGAGAGGAAAGCTTTTCGTAGTAGGCCTTCAACATAGAGTGGATGGCATGGAATTTAGAGATCAATACCAAGAACTTAGAGACATTGTCAATGTTCTTGGTTTGTCTAATCAACTTACCAACATGAGCCAACAATTTAACCAAGGCGACACCCCAAACTTCAGTATATTGATACAATTTGCTTGGTTCATCTGATAGATCGAACTTGGTACTACCTGACATAGCTGAAGAAATGAAACTTGGTTCCAAGTAGCTGAAAGCATCGGAATCCAAAACTTTGTCAAACTTACCTTTTGAGACGGAGTCACCGAATTTCTTTAAGATGGATTTAGCAGCGGTTAGGGACAAGATGTTATTGTCACCTTCCCAAGTACATTGGACAACCCAGTCATCATAACCCCTACCAAATGCATTGTATTGAGAATAACCATGACCACCACAGGTTTGTCTTAATTCATCGATCAAGTCTGAAATCAACCAAGTGTTTGTAGCTTTCAAACTTGCACTTTCAACAAACAAATTCTTCAATTTCTTGGTAACAATAGCTAGAGAGGCTTTGTCAACAGGACCATTAGAAGATGAAGATTGGTACAATTCATCCAAGGTTGTGTAATAAGTGTTCATCAATTTGTGAGCAGATGGAGAAACCAAGTAGACCAAAGCCAATTGTGGCAATACACGGAATTGATGTAATGGATAGTCCATCAATTGAGTTTCTGGTTGACCTGGAGCACTGGCGAATTGTTGTCTTGCAACGGCATAACGAGTAGCAATGGTTGCGAATTTAGAACCAAATCTGTATGAATCCATAACCATGTTAACTCTACCACTTAACAAGGCACTATAACCAGAGATCGAATCCAATAATGGTTCAGTCTTTACTGAAACCTTACCGTTTTCATTAATAACTTTAGTGAATCTAGATAACATGAATTCACGAGGAATGACTACATTTCTGAATTGAATCCAACCGTTGTCGATACCATGTCTACCCATCTTAGCACCAATGTCACCAATGGCAATACCTGGCAATAATTGTAAAGTTGAGACATCTCTTAGAGGTACGACAAAAGTCTTCACACCGTAGTCCTTACCATTAACGACCAATCTAGCGTATACAGCAGAGTGAGTGGCAGAGTGAGCTGCACCACCAATCCACCATTTGCTTGCTGCTAAATCTGGAGTGTTGATGGTGAAAGTATCAGTGTCAGGGTTGTAAACGGCGGTAGTTTGCAAACCAGCGACATTTGAACCATGGCCCAATTCAGTCATTGCGAAACAACCGTAGATACCTTTAATGAACAAAGCACCACGTTCTTGTAGCCAATATTTGATTTGTTCATCGGTACCATTACCTTTAATACAGTTACCAAATAAACCCAAGTGGACACCGATACGGGTACCTAATTGTGGGTCAATGTTGTGAACCAAAGATAATCTAGTGTTAAAGATAGATAAATCCTTGTTGTTCAAAGGTCTGATTGAGTTTGAATTTTCTTGTAATTCTTGTATCAAATCTTTGTCTCTGAATTGTTTACGAACAGTTTTGATATCGTGTTCCATGTACAAAGACATCTTATTAATTTTTCTAACGGTGATTTCTCTTTCTTCAGGTCTTGAACGGTCATAATAGTCGGAATCACTTTTCAATACAGGATCATTGACGATTTGATCGATTATTAGATGAGTTAAATCTCTCTTTTCAGGGTTTGATTCCAAAAAAGTGTTGATTTCATCTTTTTTAATAGTGGATGCGTCTCTTTCTCTTTTCAAGAATTTGACAGGGTCAAAAACAGGAGAGTTTGGATTTAATTCTTGAGTTTTTGTCATAACTTAAAGGATAAAAAATTGAAAATGTTGTATTAGTTGGTTGTTGTTGTAAATAAAGCTTTTTGAATATTTGTTAAAAAAACAATCACACACACACACACAGAGATAGAGGGGCCCAAACAAAGTGTAAATGGTATGCAGTGTGTCTGTTGTTCGATTCAGGTTAAGTAACAAGTAAAGAATAAGAAATTGGTAAACAGAATCAAACCAGATCAAAACGACAGAAAAAGATAAATAAACGATACCTGAGGTAAGAAAGAGGTCTCTTTATATACCCATAAAAAAGAGAATAAATAACTTACATAAAAGTGTTCCACAACATGAACTCCAAAAGTTGCCAATAAACCAAGCTCACACTAAAAAAACTCATCGCAAATCTATTAGATAATTGCAACAACTAGAATACAATTCAATATAACATCGACATTAGTTAGAACTCTACTGCTTAAACTATCCTGATTATCCAATAAAAGGTATACCCCGGATATTATTCCTATTCTCCGAAGTCCATGATTAACTTTTCAAAGTGGGAAACTTTGGCCATTTCCTTTCGTTTCTTCGTTTCTTCGTTTCTGTGCTGGTCTTGTTTGGTCTTGTCTTGTCTGGTCTTGTATCGTTTTTGTATGTATTGCAATCCCCTCCAATTCCGTCGTATTCTTGTTCTCTCTTGTTCTTGTATAGCGAGGATTGGATGGTTAAAGTTGAGTGACTGGACTGGACTGGACTGGACCCAGCTGGCAGGCAGAAGAGAGAGAGAGAGAGAGAGAGAGAATCGGAGATAACAAGTGCGATGAAACGGAATCATTTCACCAGATTAGTGCCGGTTTATTAGTGCTAGTGTGCCGGTGTGTACTGACTGACTGGGCATGTATTTTGATTTCATTCTCATTCAGGAAGTCATGATCATCACATACACAAAAGAGATACGAGAGAGCCGCGTAGTAGACGGTGGTTGTGGTTGTGGTTGTGGGGGGACGGGGGGAGGGAAGGGAAGGGAAGGGGCAAGACAGAGAAAGCGAGGATGGAAAAACCCCATGAATTAGGGGACGTCTGCTCCCCTGTTGATGGTTACGTTTCGCTGCTGCGCTCGCCCACAGGCGGGAAACGGACCGTTGCTAGATTTTTTCACGGGCTTTTCAAGATGATGACCGGTAGTCATTCATTTTACAACCAGAAGAACATATGGGCAGTGGAAGCGAATCTCCACTTTTGACCGACGGACACAAAACAAATCAAATCAAAACACCATAATAATAGCAATTTTGTTTGTCTGGTCGTTCACTCGGTTAGCCGCCAACAGAAAGACAGAAATGATGTTAAACATGCTAGCATTTCTCCAACTTGCCTGTTAAACCGGCCAATCAGTCGGTGTTTAATGTTGTTTCTTCCTCTTCCACTTCCACTTCCACTTCCACTTCCACTTCCACTTCCACATTCCTCCACCCCTTCCGTAGAGCACGGAAGGGGAAAAAGGGACTAAAGGGTGCCTGGCACCGTCGT